TGTCACGCCAGACAACAGCAAGTGTGGGGCTGGAGCTGGTTCTAGATTCAATTTCCAGCACCACAAACCTGAAACCCCAAGCCACGCCACAGTGCCAGGCAGGCCCCCGCAGGCACTGACAGGGATCCAAGATACAGAGTACCAGCAAGTCAACCACTGGCATCACCCCCCAAATACCACTGCAAAGTCTGTGTCTGGCAGACTGGGGCTAGAGGGCCTTCCAAGCCCCCCACAGGGCTCAGCACCCACCTCACGGTCACACCATGAACCTTTGTTCCTTCTGGAATTCTGATTTGGGAAACAGAAATCCACCTACTCGTGCTTTTAAATGCCTGGATTCAGAACCTGGAATCCGAGGTATCGGACACGCTGCACTCCCGGTCTCTGAGTAGACGGGTTACAGGTCAGTGGGCATGGGCAGCTGCCCAGTCAGCCTTCATTTGCCTCCCGCTGCTGGGGTCTGCCCAGTGGGCAGTCTGGCCCAGGTAAGGCCACTGTACTGGGACAGCCTGACGGGCCCTCAGATCCAGGAACCCAGACTCAGCCCAAAGCCTACCACTGGCCCCCACCTCCTAGCCTCAGAGCCACAACGGCTATTCTCTCTCTCTGACCAAACGTCACTCATGAACAGGCTGGTGACTGTCTGCTTCTGTAGACTCATCTGCACATGCTTCGTTTTTTAGGAGAACGACGCACAGTCAGACTGCGTGTCTCTGATGAGTTTAGTCTAAGAGATGGGAGTGGTGGCCAGGCATGTGGCGCGGCAGCAGCGGGCATGTCCTGCACAGGCCAGGGCCTGGGTTCGACCTCCGGCACCACACAAAATAACCATGAACGCCAAAGAAACTGCCTAACACCAAGCCGAGTGGAAAATGAATGACACTTTGGGTTTTAATTTTTGTGTGCGGAGGCCCACACCCAGCTGTGCTCAGAGGTTACTCCTGGCTTGACACTCAGGAATCACTCCTGGCGGGGCTCAGGGGACCCCTATGCAGTGTTGGGGATCAAACCTGGGTCGGCTGCATGCAAGGCAAGCGCTCTACCCGCCGTCCTATCTTTCCAGTTCGTTTCTCTCTTTTTTAAGGCGCAGTGAGGTCAGAAATGAAGAAATCGGCTCTGCTGGTCTTGGTCAGTTTTCCTGAGGTGAGAACAGCAGCTTCTGAAAACTATCCCATCGCCAATTCCTTACCAGAGGAGGCAGGCACAGACCTGGATGTCTCATCTCACGAGAACCCAACCCAAGCCAGGATCTTTTTCTTCCTCGCCCAAGCTCCTCCTTGTCACCAGAAACTCATGGAACACGGGTCTGGCTGTCCCCTGATCCCAGATCAGGATGGTGTGGGGGTCTCTCTCACCCTGGGTGTGGTGGGTATCACGAGCCCTGCTGTCTCCACTCTGCTCTAGGACATGGGCAAGCACCGTCTGTCAGCACCACTAGTGCCCTGCACAGCTGTGCGCGCCCCAAATCCTTCCATCTGCGAGCCTTGGCACCGTCCCAGGTCAGTAGCAACACCCCAGAATGTATGTGGCGGCTCCCCTGAAAAAGCGCTGGCTGACCGAGACCTAGGGAAAGGCTGCCCATTGCCACCACCACACCCCCAACACCTCCACTGTGCTGTGGCTGATACCAGTTCCTCAAAGCCCAAAATGTGCCAAGCCCTACTCGGCTGCCACGACACCGGACAATCCCACCCCACATGCTTTTCTCAAAACAAACAAAAAATTAATGTGCCCTCATTAACACCAACCCCCAGCTCAGTCATGATGGTGAAATATGTTTGGGGGATTTCTGAACACATTTCTTCTCCAGGCTGGGCAAGATTCATTCCCAGTGGCTCAGCCTGGAGAGAGACAGCCCAGCCTAGTACCCAGTGAGTGCAGATTCGCCAACCGCTGGAGCAGGCCAGCCACAGCCGACTCGGAGACCAGCCCTGGTCACCACTGCCGGCTCGTGCACTGGTGTGCAGGGCGGGCATGGGCCACAGGGCCTGGAGAATGCTCTATAGAGTATGGTGGAGTATCAGCGCTGGGGCACGGGAGCACTGTGGAGTATGAGTTCACTGACGCACCAAGGTATGCGGGTGCTGATGTACTCAGCTGACTGGTGCCTAGATATTGAAGCACTCTGGAACCTCAGAGGACGGTGCCCAACCTTTGGGAGTGGTGCACACTGACCTCCAGGCTCTGGACAGTGTCCCTTTTCAAAAGGCTAAGGAATTCTGCACAGCAATTTCCTGAGGTCGCAGGAGCTAAAAATAGTCTTAGAAAGCACAGGCAAAATCTGTAAAAGCAGCAAAAATGCTTTATGAATCTTGCTTGCAGATAAGACCTGCAAGAAAGAAAAAAAATTTATGGCCTTTTATCTACCGTGGGAGCCAAGCCCAATCAAATAGATACGGCAAAAATGACTTTACTGCCTTCACAGGTAAACACACAAATATTTAGAAAGTAATATTAGATGACAAGGCAAAAGGTCAATGATTACCTTTGGAGATGAAGAAAACCTTTCGATACAGTAAAACTCCTTAGCCAAGAGGAAAAGAAGGGTGGAAACGCCTGGCGAGAAGAGTCCCAGCAGCAGGCAGACCTGAGAGCTTCACTCTGACTTTGTTTTTTTGTGTCACACCCAGAGGTGCTTGGGGGCTGCTCGCAGCTCTGTGTTTGATGGTGATGCCCAGACATTATCTGGGGCTCTGTGCAGTGCAGGGGATCAAACCTGGGCCTCCTGCATGCGAAGTATGTTCTCTGCCCACTGAACTGTGTCCAGAAACTTCGCTCAGACTCGAAACCAAGAGGCGCCCTGCCATATCTGTTCAACATCACACAGGGACTCCTAAAAAAAGCACTGGAAGAGTCCAAAGCATGGGGCATAGGTTTTGCATGCTGGAGGCTGGGTTCAATCCCCAGCACCTCAGTTTCCCCCCAGAACCACTAAGAGTCCCTGAGACTGAGCATGAAGCCCTGAGCACTGCTGCATGTATGGCTCCCAAACCAGAGACAAACACAGTCCCATGTTCAGAGGTAAAATACCAGCGTCAGTACTTCACACAATTTACTTCGACATATAGAAATAAAGTGACTTTGGGGTAGCAGCAATAAAAATGAATGTATGTACAAATGTGCACCCATACATAGAAGCAGGTATCTAGGAGCTGGGGATCTAGGGGCTCTTGCCTTGAGCTGACGCTGGTTCGATCCCTGGCACCCCAGGTGGTCCCTGCGTCTGCCAGGAATGATTTCTGAGTGCAGAGTCAGGAGTAATCTCTGAGCATCATTGTGGCCCAGAAACAAAAAGCTAAGAGCAGATATTTCAAAATAAATTTAGTAAAACCTCCATGGGAAAAAATGATACATATTGACCGAATCAAGAAAACCTGGAAATACAGAAGTACTGGCTGGGGACATAGCTGGGAGGAATGACACAGATGTCTAAGACTCGGGAACATACAAGGCAAGTAAGACACATGCATGCATGGACTCACCTATAAGTAGGTTAAGACCCAATCTTGGGAAGAGGTAAATCCTCCACCAATGCCCTGCAGATTTAGCGCAACTGAAATCCTGGTGGGCCCTGGGGTGCGTGTGTGACATCCACAAACTGCCTCGACCATCTGAACCCCTCTGCTAAGGACCAAATCCAACCTCCCAGAGTTTTCTAGCTGCCGCACCAGGGCGTGACCCTCCAGAGACCCTTCAGTCCTGTCCCGCCCCGCCAAGTAAGGGGATTCTGAACAGCTGCATTCTCAGCCACATGCCACACTGCTGGACTTGCATCTCCAAGCCAGGCGCCCCACTGCTGCGGCTGCCTTCAGCTGCCGGAGGAGGCGGTGTCGCTCCCATGGAGGCTGATTCAGAGCCACCAGCTCAAGAAAAGCCACCAGTGACCAAAGCTGTGCAGCACCAGGCCCCCGGGCACAGTCTGGGTACAGTCAGTGCCCTGCTGAGGCCGAAGGTTATGCCAGTCATGCCAGCAACGCAGACGCGAGGGCACTGACTCTGGACGGTTTCGGTGAGCCTCTGGCAGATGGCGCCTGGGATCAGCTGACCTCTAAGTACATTATGGTTGTCTTGGTTGCTGTGTTATTCTACAGGGAAATACAGATATCACCAGCCAAGTCACAGCACTGGTAACAGACTGTGCCGAAGCTCTACTCCCACTAAACCGGGCCTCAGATACTCATCCCAAGATCGACACGCACAGGAACTCCCATGCATTGCTGCCCAATCCCCAACGGTCTGTCAAAGCCCAACTGTGACATGGGTATAGGCTCGATCTCGGATGTGTGAGAATGGGTGTGACCTCAGCAAGACACCCTCAACTCTCAAACTGTAAGAGCGAAACTGATGCAGTGACAGGCAGCAGAAAGGAGAAAAATCAGATGGGCCTCAGATTCAGTTCCTGAAACTGAAACATTCAGTTTCAGAGCAATAAAACAATGTATAACCAGGCAACCTGAATCCACCTGGGAAGTTCCTGGGCTCAGCAAGAGGGCTCCCAATGCCCAGAAGTCGCTTTATGTTAACCTTGAAAGAACAAGAAGTCTATGTAATCACGAAATTGGTACTGATACTGAAAATTATTGTTTAACTGTTGCCTAACCATTGTTACCCTAGACACTTGCCAAACCACCTTTGTTTGGTAACTAAGTAAGATTCTTTTCTGAAACAATAAGGCATGTACTGCTTATGTAATCAAACCCTATAGAAACTGCTTGCAGCCTGAAGTCGGGGTCGCTATCAAGAGACCACTCTGTGGGTGAGATAATTGACCTCAGTATACTGGAACAAAACTCCTTCTGCTTTTGCATTATCGAGTTAGTGTTTCTGTCCGTTTCGCTGCCTGGGAACCTAGAATCCTGGGCTTAACAAAACCTTAGTTTTGTGGAATAGACCAGGTGAAGAATCGACCCGGGGGTGGGGGTTGTGGGGGGGCGCGGGGAATAGGAAGGACGGGGGTGATGCAAGAAGCGGCCACTGGATCTGGAGTGGAGAGAAGGTACCTTATCCATATGGAAGATCAGATCCAACTCGCAGACGTTCTCGAAACACTTGTCCAGGGTCTCCACAAAAACCTAGAACACAGAAAGACCGCACGGACATCACTGTGAGCACCGGAATGGGCAGAAAAGGGGCAGTCAGGGCATCACTTAAAACTCAGAACAAACTGAAACTCAAAAAGGCCAGGATACAGCTCAGCGCTGAAGCATCTGCGTGGCTTGTGTGAGGTTGCGGGGTTGATTCTGGCCAGCACTTACTTATCTATCACCCTACTTGGTCCAGCTGGAGAGGCTGACACAAGGCAGAGAAATCTTACAGCAAGACTAGAGACACAGAAAGTTTCTGTCCGCCTTTATAAAACATTAATTTATTACAACAAAATAGGCCAGATACAAACTCCCAAAATGAAATGGGCATTTCAGCTTATTTTGCATGTATGTGTTTACACACATAAAACTTCTGGGGAGAAAGTACATCAGCAGTGCTCAGGATACCATAACGCAGAGCTGGGATTCAAGCCAGGGTGCCCGAGGCCTTAACCACTCCTCTGTCCAATCTCCCCAGTACCACACTGACTTCTGGAGGTGCTGAGGATTGAACTCAGAGACCTCATACATGCCAGGTATGTACTTGAGGGCTGCGCAGTGCCCTCAAGTCCCCCGACTGCACCTCTGAACAGCCGGACCATCTGCTTCCATCCCTGTGTCGAGTGGCTATAAGCCCTTCTACCTTACTTTTTATTTCTTTTCATTTTTTATAATTTTATTTATTGAATCACCGTGAGAGCAGCAGTTACAGAGCTTTCGGGTTTAAGTCTCAGTGATACAATGAAACTTGACTGTCCAGTGGCCTCTGGAGGATGGCGGCCACTAGGTCACCAGGGGGAATGGGCCAAGGCACGAAACCGATTTCCACCTGGGGTGGCCCAGCACCTGTAACTTACTGCAGGGACTGGATGTACTTCTGCCAAAAGCCGTTGGGTTTCGAGATTTGTTTCTGAGTCTCTGGGATCATGGCCGTTAGGCAGTTCGATCAGGAACCAGAGAGGCCATGCCTCCAATGATATATCTGAGCCGGAGGTGGTTTGTGGGTGTGTCTCCCACATACCTTTCTTTTGCTATTTACTTTCTTGGTAAACTTTGCCCCAAGTTGTTGGGGTCTGGCCAAAGGCACAGCAGCAAATTTGGGGTGTCTGGAAGTCTGAAGGCGCCATCAGGGTACTGTTGCACTCGCCTCACAGGTACAGACTGACCTGCTGGCGGCACCATACCCCCTGAGCCCTTCCGTTCTAACCCTCCTGTTGGGGGGACACTTATCTCATCATTAGGGGCTTTCCCCTTCATACTCTGAATCTTCCTCTTTGGAGCCATCGAGCTTACAGTACTGGGAGAGTTCCTTATCACTTATCTCTCCTGTTTAATTTCTAGATCCTTTTTGGAAGGAGGCAGGGGCACACCCAGAATGCTCAGAGCTTATTCCTGGTTTTGCACTCAGGTCGCTCCTGGAGGATTCACAAAACCCTACGGGATGCTACGGATCAAACCCAGGTCAGCCACATACAAAGCAGGCATCCTCCCTGCTGTACTCTCTCTCCAACTCCTAGGAGATCATTTTGCTTCTTGCTGTGTAACAGTCCACTTTAGTGGGTCTTCCTGACTAAGGAAAGTGGTTAGTGATTGGTTTATTTTTCTGTTTGCCTTTCCTTGAGGGGGATCAGTATCTCCTTCTTTTCTCCATTGGTCTTCACCTGGAAAGGGTTTCCTCAATGCTGATAATCCTTGTTTATTCATGCAGGGCAATAAAGGCGAGTGAAAACCTGGCTTTTGGGTTTCCCTCTCCTTAGCTGGTCAGATATTTTACGATTTCCTGCCTAAAGAACAAAGGGCTGGCTGCCAGCAATGCAGAATGAAGCAGCAGAAAAGGCTGGAAAATTAAACCACAGGTTCATCACACACATATTCACTTAATCCCTCTGCTGAGCGCCACCAAACATACCAGTGACCCCAGGCAATGGCACTGCCTCTAAAGAGAAGGAAACTCAGGCTGGAGTCCCAGCACAGCAGGTAAGGTGCTTGCCTGCACACAACTGACCTGGGTTCGATCCCCAGCAACCCACATGGTCCCCTGAGCCCACTAGGAATGATCCCTGAGCACAGAGCCAGAAGGAAGCCCTGAGCACCACAGGGTGTGGCCCCAAAACAGTAACAAAATGTTCCTGTAGGGTATTGTGTAATTTAATTAGCTAACGGGCTGGAGGGATAGCACAGGGGGTAGGGCATTTGCCTTGCACGAGGCCGACCCAGGTTCGATTCCTCTGTCCCTCTTGGAGAGCCTGGCAAGCTATCGAGAGAATCCCGTCCTCATGGCAGAGCCTGGCAAGCTACCCGGGGTGTATTCGATGTGCCAAAAACAGTAACAACAAGTCTTACAATGGAGACGTTACTGGTGCCCGCTCGAGCAAATCAAAGAACAATGGGAGGACAGTGCTACAGTGCTAATTAGCTTAAAACTAATCTACTGGCATTCCAGAGTTAGACCTAATTACACAGAAATCTAAATTAGAGGAGTAGTAAACCAGCAGAAGACTGAGTAATTTGAACAAATTTGACAATGATATAGAGAAGAAACTCAGTCCCATCTTTTGGCATACGCTGATCCAGTAAATCCCTGTGTTTGGAAGCTTACAAAAGACGCTGGCTCAAAGGACTGAGCACATACTTTACACATGGAGGCCTGGCTTGAATCACAGCACCACATGGTCCCCTGAGCACCACAGGAAGTGACCTCTGAGCACAAAGCCAGGAGTAACCCCCAAACACAGCCATGAGCCGGCACAAATCAAAAGCAAAAAAAAAAAAGTTTACTTATGTTTTGAAAATTTGAAACAAATGGTCTAGAGCTGTGTCCCAATTATGAGAGGAAGAAAAACGAAGACTACAAAATGCTCAACAGAACATGGCTGAACTTTACAAGGAAAAAACATCCAACCCCACCAAAGTAAGAGAGAATAAATGAACAGAAACTTTCTCAAAGGAGATCAGAATGGCCAAAAGGCACATGAAAAAAACGGTCTTCATCACTAATCAAGAGGGAGATGCAGATGAAAACAACAGTGAGACCTCATCTCACACCACAGAGGCTGGCGCACGTCCGGAAGAACAAGAACAACCAGTGCTGGCGTGAATGTGGGGTAAAAAGGACCCTCCTTCATTGTTGGTGGGAATGCTGATTGGTCCAGCCTATTTTGAAAAAATATGGACAATCCTCAAAAAACTAGAAACTGAGCATCCATATGACCCGGTAATACCACTTCTGGGAATATAACCTAGGGGACAAAAAACACTCAGCAGAAACACCATCTGCATTCCTCTGTTCTTTGATGCACTATTCTCAATAGCCAGAATCTGGAAATCACAAGAGCTATCACAATAGCCATAATCACAATGGCCAGAATCTGGAAACAACCTGAGTGCCCAAGAACAGATGAATGGATAAAGAAACTACGACGCATGGACACAACAGAATACTACGCAGCTGTTAGGGAAAATGAAGTCATGAAATTTGCCTGTATTTGCCTATAAATTTGCCTAATAAGGCTTGGAGAGTATCATGCTGAGTGAAATGAGTCAGAAAGAGAGGAACATAGAATGACCGCACTCATATTATAGAACGACTGCACTCATTTGTGGCATCTATAATAGAAGACTAAAATCCATGGCCAGGGAAAACAGTGGCTAGGAGGACTGGTCATAGTTGGAATCAACCACAAGTACGTGTGGGGTGGAGGGGAGGCAAGACAGAGAAGGGACCAGAATGACAATAATAGCTGGAAATGATCACGCTGGACAAAAACTGAGTATTAAAAGTAGGTAAAGAGATATACCGAATAACCTTTCAGCATCAGTATTACAAACCACGATGCCCAAAAGGAGAGGGGGAGGGATAAGAAGTGGGTAGAGGGAGGGAGAGGAAGAGAGAGGGAGAGAGGGGGAAGAGAGAGAGAGAGAGAGAGAGAGAGAAGAAAAGAAGAAGAGTACCTGCCACAGAGGCAGGCTGTAGGGTGTAGGTGGGGGTGGAGTGAGGGGAGGGAAGCTGGGGACACTGGTGCTGGGAAACGGACACTGGAGGAGGAATGGGTGTTGGAACACTGTATGACCGTCTCCACTCAGTGACTCAATAAAAACCCTTTTTTCTTTTTTTTTTTTTTGCTTTTTTGGGTCACACCCAGCGATGCACAGGGGTTACTCCTGGTTCATGCACTCAGGAATTACTCCTGGTGGCGCTCGGGGGACCATATGGGATGCTGGGAATCGAACCTGGGTCTGCCGCGTGCAAGGCAAACACCCTACCCGCTGTGCTATTGCTCCAGCCCCTCAATTAAAACCTTTAAAAAAGGTGCTGGAGCAATAGCACAGCGGGTAGGGCGTTTGCCTTGCACGCGGCCAACCCGGGTTCGATTCCCAGCATCCCATCTGGTCCCCCGAGTGCCACCAGGAGTGACTGATTCCTGAGTGCAAAGCCAGGAGTAACCCCTGAGCATCGCCGGGTGCAACCCAAAAAGAAAACAAAACAAAACAAAAAAAAACATTTAAAAAAAGTGGACCTGTAGCAGGGTGAGCGAACAAATTCAGAATTCTAAGGGAAAACTAAGCAATGAATGACAAAGACACACTGGTGGGAATAGCCCTGCACTGCAGCACTGTCCTCCAGTAGCTCATCGATTTGCTGCTCGAGCAGGCCCAGGAACGTCTCCGTTGTGAGACTTGTTACTGTCTTTGGCATACTGAATACATCACGGGGAGCCTGCCAGGCTTTGCCGTGTGGGTAGGTGTAAGGATGAATAACACCCTAAAACTACAGAAGAAACCATGAAGAAACCATGAAATCGGTGGATCTTCATTAGCAATGAAACAAAGTAAAGACACCAGTGAAGGAAGGTGAAAGCTACATTCACTTACATCTAAGAAGATACTTTGCAATTGTTACAATGTATAAAGGATGCTATTACTCTAATGTCTGGAATGGTTATTCAACAATGCACATTATATAGAATGTATAGGTTGATACTTCTTCCATATGTTACTTTTTATTTTTTTTTAAAGTATTAGTTTCTTTATTTTTATTTTTGCTTTTTGGGTCACACCCAGCGATGCACAGGGGTTACTCCTAGCTCTTCATTCAGGAATTACTCCTGACAGTGCTCAGGGGACCATATGGGATGCTGGGAATCGAATCCGGGTCAGTTGCGTGCAAGGCAAATGCCCTACCCGCTGTGCTATCGCTCCAGCCCCTACTTTTCATTTTTATTTATTTACTTTTGGCCTTTTGGATCAAACTTCAGGATGCTCAGGGGTTACTCCTGGCTCTGTACTCAGAAATTACTCCTGGCAGTGCTCAGAGGACCATATAGGATGCCAGGGATCTAACCACCATGTGCAAGGCAAACACCCTACCAACTGTACTATCATTCTGGCCCTCTACTGTTACTTTTTAATTTCACAAAATAAAAGATTCATTCAAATTAAACAATAAGAGATATGCTTGGTTTCATTGAGCCCTACAGATTTCTCCCCTGAGATACTGGCTCTGGTACGTGTTTATTTTGGAGGGAGGCAGTAGGAGGCACACCAGGCAGTGCTCAGGGCTTACTCCTTGCTCTGTGCTCAGGAATCACTCACTGGTGGGGCTACAGCACCAGGGATGGAACTGGGGCTGGTCATGTGTAATGCAAGCACTTGCTTGGCAATACTATCTCTCCAGTTCAGTGGCTCTTGGTTTCAAAAACCCTTACTAAAGACTGGAGGGTGTGGCTTTGGGGCAAAGTGCATGCCTTACATGCGTGAATTTAGACTCCCTAGCTATAAAACAAAATAGACTCAATAAATCAAAAACTACACTGACTGGGGCTGGAGCAATAGCACAGCGGGTAGGGCGTTTGCCTTGCACGCGGCCGACCTGGGTTCAGTTCCCAGCATCCCATATGGTCCCCTGAGCACCGCCAGGGGTAATTCCTGAGCGCAGAGCCAGGAGTAACCCCTGTGCGTTGCTGGGTGTGACCCAAAAAGCCAAAAAAAAAACAAACCTACACTGACTGCTTTGGGGTGATTACTGGGACAGAAGGGAATGAGGATACTTCTTGACAAGTCTTCTTAATTTTGAAATACATATATACAGGGTTTCTCCAATAAGAAAGTTTACAAACTGTAAATAAGCATAAGCCAAATAAACAAAAATGCTTCCTACTGCAATGAAAGACTATTTCAGGAATATAATCTGGCTAAACACTTCTCTCGACATCTACTGAAGCCATCTTGCTGGTTTCTACTATGCCTCTTAGAACTATAAAAGACTCAAAAGAGTGGCTGGAGCCATACTACAGCGGGTAGGGCGTTTGCCTGCACGAGGCCAACCTAGTTCAATCTCTGGCATCCCATATGGTCCCCCAAGCACCGTCAACAGTAACTCCTGAGTGCAGAACCAGGAGTAACCCCTGAGCAACACTGGGTGTGACCCAAAAAGAAAAACAAATAATACATATGTCACTGTCCTCCCGTTGTTCATCAATTTGCTCGAGCGGGCCCAGTAACATCTCCATTTTGAGACTTGTTACTGTGTTTGGCATATTGAATATGTTATGGGTAGCTTGCCAGGCTTGGCTGTGCAGGCGAGATACTCTCGGTAGCTTGCTGGGCTCTCTGAGAGGAGCGGAGGAATCGAACCCGGCTCAGTTGGGCTGGCTGCGCGTAAGGCAAACACCCTACCACTGTGACTATATATGTCATATATAATACATATACAGACACAAGAATTTTCCCTTGTTCAACAAACTCACATCCTATGAGGACACAATGAATAATTCTTCTAGTATGCAGTATTCCTGAGAGACGCCTCAGAGCTAGCAGGGAACATCTGGTATTCTTATAAAGCAAAACACAGAGAGGAGTGAGGAGCCAAGTCCCAAAACCAAACCACAAGGTCAACAATGCTCAGATTGGCTTAAGGCTGCAGACTTACTACTGGGAATGTGGAAACAAGACTCCCATCAGGATTCCTTGGTTCAACTGGCTAGAGTTTGTAATTCTGTACCAGTACCAATATGCAACATTTGAGTAACATTTTCCTCTTAGTTTTGTTCTGTTTTGTTTTGGGGCCACAACCAGCTGTGCTCATTGCTTACTTCTGGCTCTGTGCTCAGGGATCACTCCTGGAAGAACAGGGTGCCAGGGATCAAACCCAGATCTGACCCACTGTCCTATCTCTCCAGCACCTGATGTTACGTTTGCATATAAGCTCGGGTTGGGATTAGGCAACAAAACGCATCTCGCTTTCATGAGACTTTCATGAGACCTGGCTTCAAGCTCTGGAGCCGGACACTCCTTGGGTCGGGGAGAAGGATCAGAGCAGGAGAGCGCCCCTCGAATGGCTGAGCCTGGAACTGCACCATCCCTGAGCACTGCTGGATGTGGCCCCTCTCCCAAAAAAGGTTTTTTTTTTTTCTCTTTGGTGTTTTTGGTGACACCCTGTGATGCTCAGGAGTTAGGAATCACTCCTGGTGGTGCTCAGTGGACCAGATGAAATGCAGGGGATCGAACCCAGGCTGGCCGCATACAAGGCAAATGCCCTACCTGCTGTATCTCTCTAGCCCGACCCTAAAGTTTTAATGCAAACTCTTGTTTAAACTGTTGGCTTGGGGCTGGAGTGATAGCACAGCGGGTAGGGCGTTTGCCTTGCATGCTGCCGACCCGGGTTCAATTCCCTGAGTACCGCCAGGGGTAATTCCTGAGTGCAGAGCCAGGAGGAACCCCTGTGCATCACCGGGTGTGACCCAAAAAGCAAAAAAAATAAATTAAATTAAATTAAAAAAGTAAACTGTTGGCTTATTCAAATAGTTAAAAGAAGCCCACACAAGGCTGGAAAGATGGTACAGTAGGCAGGGCATTTGCTTTGCATATGGCCAACCTGGGTTAGATCCCCAGCACCCCATATGGTCCCCCAAGCACCACCATATTCAAATCAGTTAAAAGAAGTCCATACAAGGCTGGAGAGATGGTACAGAGGGTAGGGCATTTGCTTTGCATGTGGCCAACCCAGGTTAGACCCCCAGCACTCCAGATGGTCCCCTGAACACCACCAGGAGTGATTCCTGAGTACAGAGCCAGGAGTAAGTGCTGAACATTGCCAAAAACTACAAAAACAAACAAAATAAAAGAAATGAAAGAAGCCCACTGAGAATCCCATGTATAAATTAGTGGAACCAGTAATGGTAATGGTACCAAAGTGGGGTCCCCACACACCTCAGTTTCCATGAAGGAGATGGAAAGAATCTGTAAGTCATTCCTGAATTCCAAAATGCCTAACAAAAATCATGTTTAACTGTGGCCAGAGACAAAGGGCTCCCAAAACAGAACCAAACAGACAAAATCATGTTTGCCTACGTCGAGATGCAAGACTGCACAGGCAACTGAAGTCTAGAGTTTCTTCAGGCTATAATCACAAGTGAAATGCAAAGTATACGTTTTAGAATAGCATTTCACTTGATATCTGAAAAAAATTGCAAACACGATACCAAGGTTCGTAACAAGAAAAGCATATTGGTATTCAGCCTGTTTCTGGCAGAGCTCCGAAAACCTCAGGAATTTCCCTAGTGACAAAGAAGTCTTTTGTCTGTGTAAATGAGGTATCTTCTAGAAAGCACTAGGGTGTGGCTGGAACCAGGAGTGCAGTCAGGTCACTAAAGGCTGGACATTTCAGTCCCCCTCTCCTGCCCCTGGTGGAGAGGGGTAGGGCAGGCTGGAGGCTAAAGCAGCAACTGACATCACCAACCAGACCCAGTAGAGATGCTTCAGGCCCCAAAAAGGAACTCCTGGCTTCTCTGGGTGTCTGTCTCCCGTTACATATACACGGAGGGTCAGAACTGAGTTTTGTGGGGAATCTAGTCGCTGAGGCCAAATGAGTAACACAGAACCATGGGGAAAACCCAGCAACGGAACCCTGGGCAGGCAGCGCACAAGCTCTCCCATGGCGCCCTCTGGTGGACTCTTCTTGCCCAGAGCAACGAAGGGATGAAGGTAGGTCTAGAGAAGAGGGAGTTCCAGAGCAGGCTGCAAACGGCTCAGTGACGCCCTACCTGGATGAGGTCCAAGATCCCCAGCTCGCTCTCAGAGGAGTCCACACAGAACACAAAGTAGAGGGTAGCGTAGTGGCGGTAAATGAGTTTGTAGTCGGAGCCGCCCATGAGGCTGTGGGAGACGAGAAACGTTTACTCAGACACAAATGCAGATGTACCCCGGCACGGAGTGGGAAGAAGGGCCCCACGGAATGAGTGGGACACGCCAGCCAGGGCCAGCAGAAGTGGACTATGCAGGAGCACAGAAAACCAGTCTTTTTTTTTTTTTTTTTCTGTTGAGCTGCCCAGGAACTGTGTCGGGGAAGCACAACTACCCAGAGCTTCCAAAACGGAAATGGGTCCCTCCTGGGCCCGACACTCCAACACTGATGGTAGAAGTAACGCTCATGTCCCCCTTCCCGCAAAGGTGGCTTTAGGGAAAGGAAAGCGGATTTTTTACCTTCCGCCCTCCAGGAAGTTACAGATGTTGTCATCCCGCTTGAGAACAAGATGGAATGTCTCGCGGACAATCTGCTGCTGGATTTCCTCAGGCTACAGAGTCAGAGAAATGAAGACACGGGGAAAATCTGAGAAATGATGCCCACCCATGGGGGAAGTCGAGGAGCGAAGTGCTAGGAATGATCTGAAGCTCTAACCCCAGTTTCCAGAAAAGACTGAAATGATGAGGAGGGGAGTTAGGGAGAGAATCTGGGGCAGGAGAGACAGTGCAAAGGGAAGGCACACGCTTGTATGCTCGAGCCCTGGAACCGCAAAACCCCCTGATCAGAGTCAGGAGTAGCACCTGAGCACTGCAAGGTTTTGCCCGAAAATCCCAAAATAAGAGTGAATCTGGGGGTTGGAGCGATAGCACAGCAGGTAGGATGTTTGCCTTGCACGCGGATGACCGGGGTTTGATCCCCAGCATCCCATATCCCCTGAGCACTCCAGGAGTAATTCTGAGTGCAGAGCCAGGAGTAACCCCTGTGCATCCCAGGCTGTGACCCAAAAAGGAAAAAGAAAAGAGTGAATCTGTGAGGGCCAGAGTGATAGTACAATGGGTAGGGCGTCCGCCTTGCACGAGGTCAACCCGGGTTCCATCTCCAGTATCCCATATGGTCTCCTGAGCACTGCCAAGAGTGATTCCTGAGTGCAGAGCCAATAGGAAGCCCTGCACATAGCCAGGTGTGACCCAAAAGAAAAAAGGGGGAAAAAAAAGAGTGACTCCGTGAAAATGAATTTCATGGCTCCAGTCTGGAAATTAAGATTAGGAATACTGGGGCGGGAGCGACAGCACTGAGGGTGGGCAACTGTTCGCCTTGCACGCGATCCCCAGCACTCTACGTGGTCCCCAGAGCCTACCAGGTGCGGTTCTTGAGCACAGAGTGAGGAGTAAGCCACGAGCACCACCAGATACAGTTCCGTCCCCCCAACTAGAAGGTGCTGTGGTGCTCACCAGTAAATTCTTCATGAGAAAGAAAAAAACGCTCTCCTCCCCATCTCCCCACCCCTCCGGGTCCTGGTTGTCACGCCCACAAACTGCCTCCAGATGCCATTTAAGTGCGTTAAAGGCCATGATCCAGAGGCTCACAATGAATCGCAGAGCCGATCAGCTAGCTGCAGAGATGTCTCTGGACCCCAATTATTTAATAATTCTAGAATTCCAGGAGTGCATGGTCGTGCAGAGATCTCATGCTATTCATAACAAGCAATACAAAATAAATTTCTCCTATCTGCCCGTGGGGCAGGCTTGAGTGGTGGTGGGAAAATTCAGAATAATGGTGGTGGGAAGATGTAATAGTGGTGGGATTGGTGTTGAAATACTGAACGTAATAAATTATTGTGAACAACTTTATGAAAAAAATAAAATTTTTAAAAAAGAAAATGTATTCACAGAGAAAAATTCTGAACAATCACAGAGCTACCAATATTTTCTTCACTGATTACATCATATACAAAGTTCAACTGTGAAAAAATCTCTTAATAAGTCACTTTGACTTTTTTTTTTTTTGGCTTTTTGGGTCACACCCGGTGTTGCACAAGGGTTACTCCTGGCTCATGCATGCAGGAACTATCCCTGACGGGCTCAGGGGCCCATATGGGATGCTGGGAATCGAACCTGGGTTGGGCGTGTGCAAGGCGAACGCCCTACCCGCTGTGCTGTCACTCCAGCCCCTGTGCTATCACTCCAGTCTTCGACTTCTTTTTTAAAAAGGAATAATTACTGGCGCATATGCTGCCTGAGCCCATGTGCTGCTTGCACCCACATGGCCGAGCACATGTGGACTGAGCACATGTGTCGCCCACATCTCCCCTCTTGAGATGTGTACTTTCATGCTTTCATGTCTAATGCTAAGATGTGTGTAGGGGCTCTCTCTGCCCTTGGAGAAGCCCGTGTTCTCTCTTGGGTACGTTACTCTCTCTCTCACTCTCTCTCCCTCCACACCTTAAAAATCCTCCAAATAAAATCTGTTACTTCAAAAAAAAAAAAGAAATAATTACTGGGCAGGAGCGATAGGACAGTGGGTTGGTGGGTTTGTCTAGCATGTGGTCAACCCGGGTTTGACCGCTGGCATCCCAAATGGTCCCCTGAGCACTGCCAGGAGTGATTCCTAAGTGCAGAGCCAGAAGTAACCCTTGAGCATCACCAACTGTGACCCCCCCCAAAAATTTTTTTAATGATTATTTTTCTAAATTCTGGTGGTGTTTAAGATTTATGCCTAGCTTTGTGGGTTTTTTTTTTCCTTTTGCTCAGAGATTATTCCTGACTGTGTTCAGGGTACCCTATGCATTACCAGGGATCAAACAAGGGTTGGCCACATGCAAGGTCAGTGCCTGACCTGCTGTGTTATCTCTTCAGTTTAATTCCCCAAACAGCACTGGGAGTGGACCGCGCCCCCCCTCCCCAGGGCCAAGCTAGAAGTAACTTCTGGTAACAGCTGGGAATGACCCAACAACCAACATAAAATAAAGTAACTCACCAAACTGCATATTTCAAGTAGGTGGAGTGTAAGATTTGTGACAGATCTCAGTAACACACAAAGGTTGGGGTGGAGCAATAGTACAGAGGGTAGAGCATTTGCCTTGCATGTGGCTGACCTCGGTTCAATTCCCAGTTAACCTGGGTTCAATCTCTAGCATCCCCTATGGTCCCCGTGAGCACCACCAGGAGTAACCCTGAGCACTGGGGGGTGTGGCCACAAAGCAAACTAAAAATATTCCCACTTCTAGACACAAATACAAATTGAAATACAAATACGAATGGAGCCAAGCAAGGGCAGTCCCCGCCTCTGGGGAATGTAGTCTTAACCTTCCCCAAGGAATTTCAGCCAACACCCTTTCAACCCCCAAAGGAAGATGAGGTAATCTGCCAGAGATCCTTCTCAGAGGAAGGATAGCAAAATAAGCCTTCATGGGATTTTCTGGGCTATGCGCCGTGGTCCAAGGAATCCCTCTCAGCCACCCAGGTTGGGACAGTTCAATGAGGCAAGTTGTTTGCAGACCCTGGGGCTTCTCTGCTAAAACTGCTGGTCCTGGAGGAACCCGCAAAGCAGTCCTGGGGATCAAATCTGGGGCCTTCAGCATGGGTGACACACACACACACACCCTGTCCTTGGAGCTCCATCTCAATCAGAAATAAACCTTGAGGATGTGCAAGGGAAGCGCCCCTGCTCCTGTACGACTATCTCGCCGGCTCCCTTAAATGCTCTTGGCCCTTTGGGGGTCTTGTCTACGTGCTGGAGAGAAAACTGGCCCACCCCAGGAATCACTTAATAGAACCCAACCGGGCCTTTAGGTCTCCTGGGCTGGACGCTGCTGAACAACGGCCGTCCTGAAATCCCGACGGGGTGAGGCCGTCCTGCCCCTGGGCAGTCCCAAACGGCGCCAAAGCAAAGATGGAACCGAGTGGGAACGCTCGGTCCCCGAGGCTTCAGCAGATCCTGCCTGGCCGCTCCTGCCTTCCTCCCCCTAAGGAACTGCAGACGCCGGCTCCTTCCTCCCCCTAAGGAACTGCAGACGCCGGCCCCTGACACTTCGGCGACCACCCGCTCTGCTGCACGGTCTCAAGAGGCATCCCCCGCCCCCGGCAGCCCGGGGGTGGCGTCACGGCCACCCTGGGACGGGCTCTGGGTGCAGAGCGCGGGGGGGGGGGGCGAGCGCCCAGGGGCCCCCAACCCCGCCCCAGGGAGCCGGCGGGCCGGGCCGTCGCGATCCTGCGCCGCACTCACGAAGCGCTGGTAGAAGCGGACCAGCCGCGGCTTCCCGTGGTTGTTGAAGACCAGGATGGCCTGGATCATCGTGGCCGCCCACGCCGCCTCCAGCACCCGCGGCGCCCGGAAAGCGGCTGCTTCCGCCACGACCCGGCACTTCCGGGGGTGCGCCGCCCAACAGCGGCCGGCGGGGACGCGCGCCGGCACCCGGGTCCGCTCGCGCAGAGTCCGGCCTCGCCGCCCGCCCGGAGGGAGAGGTTCCGGGCGGGCCAGCCGCGAGAGGTTCCGGGCGGGCCAGCCGCGGGCCAGGGCCCACGCTTCTCTCTCGCTCCGGCCGCCCTTCCGCCGCCCGACCCTGGGTCTCGTGGCGCAATCCCGGGCCTGCCGGCGCAGATCGGAGCAGACAGGAGGCCAGGCCAAGCGGTCGACGCAGAGACCTGCAGCCGTGGGGTGCCCCCAGCTGGTCCTCACTGGAAAACGCGGAGTTTCTGTTGTCAGTATTGCGCTGCTGAGAGGCTGTCTTCCTGCGTGGAAGGCCTCGGTGGCCCTAAGGAACCTTAAAGCTACAGATCACCCCAAATCGGTAGTTTGCCCTTTGAATGACTTAGAAAGGGTGAGTTGGAGCACATGCCTGGATGCCCCTAAACTGGCATTACCTACCCAGAGGGCTGTTTGGCGATATATGCCAAAGGGTTTTTCAACCCGAGTGGCCTGTGTTGGAATGGGCAAATACAATGTTTCATGAGCCTGACAATACTTAGCCTCGAGTATGTGTCTGTCAGTAATGCTATTACAGAGGAAATGGGACGCAAACTATTACAGGATAAGAAACTGGTTGAATGCTTTGTTCCCATATAGGTAAAGGTAAAGGTAAAGGCCCTCCCGTTGATCGTCGATTTGCTCGAGCGGGCCCAGGAACGTCTCCATTGGAGACTTTGTTGTTACTGTGTTTGGCATATCGACTACTCTCGGTAGCGTGAAAAATATTAAAATTGTCTAATAGTGGCTGGAGAGATGGTACAGAGATAGTACAGATAGTACTGTGGGGTCAGTCATCCTGGGGAAAGCCATGGGGATAAAGAACAGACTTGCCTTGAATGCAGCCGGCCAGGGTTTGAGCCTGGCAACCCCATGTGGTCCTCTAGCCCACCAGGAGTAATTCCTGAGTGCAAAGCCAGAAGTAAACCCTGAGCATCACCAGGTGTGGCCGCAAAACAAAACCGAATAAAATTCCTGAGTGCAGAGCAAAGAGTTACTCCTGAGCAACCCTGGGCATGGCCCAAAAGCAAAATTTGTGAAAGGGGCTGAGGAGATAGTAGAGTGGGTAAGACTCTTACATAGCCAACGGCGCTTTGGGCAGCAGGATGTCCTGGCTGGGCCATCTCTGGTCCCCACTCTCTGGCCCAGGAAACAGAGATTTCAATGCCCAAGAACCTCACAGACGTAGTTTTGGAGAAAAATTCTGGCAAGCGATATCCTGGATGAAAGAGAACGGTGTTCTTTCTCATGGGAAGGGGCTGCACCTACCAACAATCCAGCACTTGGGCCCTTGCGGTGCTGGGAATCAAGCCCGGAGCAAAGCCGGTGAAGGTTCCCCAGCCTGAAAGTTTCCTACTTACCAGGACGTGGGTAATGACTGAGCTCTGGAGAGGAATCCTTTATCTGGAGATTTATTTATGCAAAGTTCTCATGGTACAAACCCACAACAAAAAAAGGGTGTGATCCCAAACTGGGCCTGGCAAAGAGGTCAGGCGGGACCCAGCCCACCAGACCTGGGAATACAGGGGCTCCCCATCACAGCACCCTGCGGAAAACTGCCAGCACGGAGGGGAGGTAACAAGGATGAGAGGAGCTGACTGGGATGGGGGAAGGGCTCGACTGGCTTCTCTTCTGGGGCCCTCAGCTTCTAGATGCGGGCTGGTCCCCCGTTTTGTATCCACACTCTGTGGGGGAGCTTCCACCTTCCCCCTCACCTCCAGCAATCAGGCTTCCCCACAAGCAAGGCTGTGCTGGAAATATCTGGAAGGCAGCTCTCAATCCTGGGCAGCCTCAGCCCGGGCCCCAGCTAGTCCATTCTGGTCTCGCACTGGTTCCAGCTTCATCAGAGGCTGTTCCTGAGTGGGTGGCCTAGGGATGCAGCAGCAGCCTGGCGACTGGGTAGTCATGTGTGGAAGTGGGTGGAAGAGGCTCCGATGACGGTGGGGTCAGTCGTCCTGGGGAAAGCCACGGGGATAAAGAGCAGAGACTCTGATGGGATGCCAAGCCAGCTCCAGAGGTTTCTCAGGAGTATAGGCCCCCAAGTCCATGGCACTCTGATGCCCACAGCATCCCACTCCCCCTACGTACCCACTCAGCATCCTCTGCCCCGTCTCCCTGCTCGCGGGTCTCTGCTGGGGTCCCCTCAGCAGCCTTCTGGGCCATAATGTTGTCTGTCCAGGATGCTCCAGTCTTCGCATCACCCGCAAAGTTGCACTTGGTCACTGTGCCAGCCTCGAGTCGAGCTAATGAATCTGAGAGGGAAGAACGCCAATAGTCCCTCCCCCAGGGTGGAAACAGTGGGCTCCGCGCATCATCTGGGGCTCCCAAGACCTGGGTGAGGTTAGAAGGCCCGGAATGGCAAACCTTGGGGCTGACCAGCATCCCAGAGTCCAGGCTCGCAGTCTGGGGGAGCTGCCTCGGTGACCCAGGGTCAAATCTCCAGGAGCTCAAGGAGGTGGGGTGTGGGGCCCCTGACAGGTCAGGGGCACTGGCAGATCGCGTGGAAATCATGGGGTTGCTCACCCAGGAAGGGACCGTCGCCCCGAGTTTTCAGCCGTACCCCGACCCCCAGCTCCAGCTCCATCGCCTCCATCTCTGACTCCAGCATCCAGAAGGCCACAGTGTTCACAGGGGTGAGGCTTTGTGTCAGTGCAAGCAGCTCAGGCTTCTCCACCAGCCCCTTCAGCACCTCAGCAGTGAGCCTGTCCGTGTTCCCCTTGGCTTCCACCTCTGCAGGAACAGAACCAGGAGTCACCGTCACAGCACACCCTCCGGCCCCCCTGCCCCCGTGTCCTCACTGCTGTGCCCCTATCTCCACCACCAGGCTCCTTCCCTCCTACCCATTATGCAGGAGGCCGCAGGGGCTGATAGTAGACACACTAGCAGGCAGCCTCCCAGAAAAGGGGCCCAGGAGGGAGTGGCTCTGGCTCAAGGCAACCCTGGGAACCAGACACTTTCCAGGAACCAGGCCTGGTGGGGGATACCTACTGTAGGATGACATGAGGAAGCCAGTGTTCACTTTTTTGGTGGCGCTGAAGTTGGGCTCGATTTCATTTCCCTTTGGGTCAAACTTTCGCCGATGGATACGACTGGGCTGGATATACAGCACATAATACCGTTCCTGGGTTCGGGAGGAGAAGGAAGGAGGGGGTCTACTTCCTTACCTCCACTCTGAACAGTCTCTTCAGGGGACCAGACCCTTCCTCACACAGCTCCCCCCTCCCCAGCCTCACACTCTTCACCAGACAGGAAGTAGGTACAGAAAACCATAATCCAAGGCCTCCACCTCCCCAGTGAAGCAAGATTGCTAGTGACCGGGCGGTGCAGGAAGTGTGCAGAAAGGAAGTTCTGGAAGAGGGGAGCTACTCTGCTTCTTGCCATGTGGAAAATCACTCCTGGCTGCAGTTTTTCCCCAGATCCAGGCAACAATGTGATGCCAGCTCTTAGCTAGATTGTGAGAGGTCCACAACAAAGGCGGACCACACACAAAAGTCGGCCTCAAAGGGTGCGGGAAGTGGGCTGTGGCTCGGCTTATCTGGCAGGAGGACAGAAGGCTGAGCTGGAGGAAGAGACCACCAAGAAACAGGGAAGGCCAGATCTGCAGATATATCTGCAGGGATAGAGAAAACTGCAACTGGAGGGCCTGCAGGAGGAATATTACAAGCCTGTGATAGATGACTAAAGTAAGAGTCAGGGGCCCCCAGTGTGGGGTGTGGGAACATTGTATGGCCGAAACCTAACCAAGAACAACTTTTTAACCGTGTATTCCACTGATTAAATTTGAAAGGGTTTAAAGAGTACTCCTAACCAGGTTTGAGAAAGTGGGGGCCCTTTGGAGAAACAACCTGGGCAGAAATTGGGCACAGGGGACCATGATGGGTCTGTATGTGCCCCCCGCATGGTTCTGGGGCCTCCGTGGAAACTCTTGGCCGCCTTCGGGGTGCAGATGGGCAGCAGGGAAGGACAGGCTGTTGGGGGCGGCCAGAGGCAGCATGGGTGGGTGCCGCAGGGGCAAGTTTAAGGTGGGGGTGGCGGTCGCCCCGCGTCAAAGGGTGCCGCTGTGCTGGGAGGTTCCGCCCGGCTGTCCCGGGGGCGCGTGGTCTGGGAGCTTCCGGCACGTGTCTGGACTTCCGGCTCGCGGCGCGACTTCCGTTTCCGGCGGGCTCTGAGGCGCTGAGGCGAGCGGAGCACCTGGCGGGAGCGGCGGCCGCCTCGGGGCGCCGCCGGAGACCGGCTCTCGGGTGTCCCGGGGAAGGACCCCCGGGCCCGGCGTCCCTCATGGCCGCAGAGGACACGGGGGCCGCGCTGGGGGCGCTTGGAAGCGTGGACCGGGCTCCGGGCTTCGTGCTGGGGCTCGCTCGCGTGGAGACAGCCGCTGGCCCCTCGCTGGGAGACGCCCAAGCGTTTCCCAGACGGTCCTGGTGAACATCCAGAACCTTCCGCGGCCTCCTGTCCCAAGCGCCCACCCCGTTTCTGGTCTGCGGACACAGGACCCAGGGGCTGGACTTCGGAGCTCCCAGGGCCGCCCCGGATCAGCTCCTGTGGCGGGGGGCGCCTCGCTCCGAACTCCGCCTCAGGTGCCCCCCAGAACGGAAAACCCGGGAGGGCAGTGGAGGCCAGGTGCGCCCCGATCCCAGCGACGCCTCCACGGAAGAAAAGGAAGGGGGGAAATACACGTAAGGCCACGTGAAGGGGAAATGCACACGTGGACGTTCGGAGCTGTGACCTTCAGGGGTCAACGAATGGATATCTCCCAATTAAAATGAAGTGTGACTTCTGGGAAACAGCTGGCACCCAGAAAGAGGACCTCACCCTGCACCCCACCACTGGCTGATAAGGCGCCCTGGCCTGGTCCCTGGCGCCTGGGGACAGTGGGAACACCAGCACCACGACAGACGTCGGGGCCCTGCCTCCCAGAGGAGCCCCTGACTCTGTGCCTCTTGTCCAGGACTCTGGAACTCGCAGCCTGTTCCATCAGCTGCTGATGAGACGCCCTCGGTGAGTCTTCAGCCTGCTCCACACCCAGCCTCTGCCCTGAGCCCACATGTCATCCTTCCTGCTCACAGCCTTCTAATCCCAGCGCCAAACACACCATCTGGATTTAGGGTCCGAAGCTCCGAAAGATCCGAGGACACCAGCCCCCGACCTGACTGATACCAGCACAGCCCTAGAGTACCTGCTGTCACTGGGTGATCTTTGGCCAAGGCTGTCCTGCCCTGCCTCGGGATCCCCACCCTCTGTTGGCAGAGCGGACCCCCATCCGGTGGCGGGCAGAGTGGATCCCCCACCCCATGGCTGGCAGAGTGAACCCCTAACCCACGGATGGTGGCAGAGTGGACTGTGGAGCCCCATCCATGACCTGCAGAGCCCCGCAGGGAAGAAGCACACCATGGCCCTGGACCTGCCTCACCTTCCTGCCATGAGCGTCCAAGATGCTGTGCCTGGACACGTCCACCAGCTCTCCCTCCAGCAGGACGCCTGCTCCCCTGTCAGAGAGGGGCGGCAGTAGTTAGCAGTTCGGGGGCCTGGTCCCAGAACCTCAGTCTTCCCATCCACACAGTGGCCACACCCCACTTCTTTGCTGCTGCCCAGGTAGGTGCCCCATCAGCTGTGGATTCTGCTGCTTTGTTCGTGGTCCCAGGTGGGGCCCAGTGGCTCTGGGCTTGCTTCTCACTGGCCTCAGGCTCGGTCTGGTTCCTGTTCTCATGCAGTCAACACCCCAGTGCAGTGCCGCTTGCCCTAGACAGCAGGGTCCCCTTCCGAGGGGCTAGACCACCCTATCCCAGTTCTAGTTTCCAGCAAGGTTGAATGAACCTGGGGCTGCCAAGGCTGGCGGGGGAGTGGGGGGCTGGGAGCAGGGAGCAGCGTGGGGCTGACCTCACCCCCAGTTCTTTGTAATCGCTCACAGAATGAGCCACTGTGGCCAGCGTGGAGGGCCAGTGGCTGGGGCCTCTGATCATCCAGATTTGTTCCCCCAAATTCCCACTGCTGGAACGAGGGCGCCAGTGCTGACGCCTGAGGCTCGCAGCGTAGCCTTTCGTGACTAGGTCGGTCATGGAAGCTACCAGGGGTCAGGGAGGGACAGGCGGCTGGCACCCAGTTCCCCCGCTTGGCTCTTCTTTAAGCCTGGGGTCCGGCTCCCTGACAACTAAGGGAGTTTCCAACAGCTCACTCGGGCTGCAGCCTCCCTCCCCCCACCCCAAGGGCTTTGGTAGCCCAGCCTGTCCCTGTCCCTGTCCCCGGGCACGCCTCGCGCCTTACCCCTGGTGGGCGGCGGGGTCCCAGGGCCCTGGCAGCTGCGTGCTGTGCACCGCCTTGTTCCGCAGGGCGCTGTCGTGGTAGATGCGGCTCATCTTGGAGCTCCGCGCTCCCGCACACCCGGAAACGGCCTTTCCCGGCGGGATGTGGGGGGCGGGGTCCGCGGGCCGGTCTGGGAGGAGGCAGCTTCCGGGGAGCCCGGCCTGGTCTTTCACCTCTTCCTGAGGTCAGCGGGAGCCCCGCCGAGGGGAGTCGGGCCAGGAGAGCCAGGGAAACCTTTCCGGGCAGAAGCGGGCGGTGTTGGAAGGGAGCGTAGAAAAGGAAATCGCCCCCGGGAGCAGTAGCCTTGCCCTCGTCGTCCTCCAGCGGTTGCTGCAGGATCAGGGCTTGGGCTCCGTTCCGACATGCCAAAGTTTGAATTACAGCTGTGTGAGCACAGGCAAGTAGCGCAACCTCTCTGAGCCCAGCAGAAACCCCCGTCGCTGCCCGGGAACACAGCATTTGCCCCCCCCACCCCCACCCCCCACATAGCCTTGGGCCCCCTTCCAGGCTGCCCGGGCCAAAACAAACTGGCAGAGGTCTGTTGTCACCCCAGTTTTGGGCTCTCTAGTTCCGCTTCACTTCCAGGACGAGGCACCACAGATACGGCTTCTAGGGGAGCATTCGCCATGGGGCAGAGTCCAGGAACTGTGCTGTGGGTGGAGAAGTTCCTCTCCCCTTCGTACATGATCGTGATTATTTTTGGACTTTGGGTCACACCTGGTTGTGCTCTGGGCTGACTCCTCGCTCTGCACTGGGGGATCATTTTTGGCCATGTGGGGTGCCGGGAATCAAACCCAGATAAGCTGGATACAAGGCAAGCGACACTCCCCCCACCCCGACTCCGCCAGCAACGTCCTGTCTCTCTGGCCCATGTGATTATAATTATTATCATCACCGTTCCTCCGCTCCCTTCCTTCTTGCCGATGCTGCTGTGATGTGGGACATCAGCATCCCTGGCTGTGGTAGACAGGGGTCTGCCCGGGTCACCTATTGGTCTGAGTTGCTTGCACACTCAGCCACAGTGCTCACTGCAGTTGGGCACCCCTTTACTTGCGCTTGTACACATGAACAAGTCATGTTTGTGGGGCTTACGGGGATCACAGTGGTGCTCCAGTAGGGGTTCCCCACTTTCTGGGTTTTGCTGCCGTCATTTGTTTTGGGTCACTCCTGGCAATGCTCAAGACTTAATCCTGACTCTGCACTCAGGAATCACTCCTAGTGGTGTTCAGGGAACCATACGGGATGCCAGGGATCGAATCCAGGTCTGCTGTGTGCAAGGCAAATGCCCTCCCTGGTGTACTATTACTCCAGCCCTGAGGCTGAACTTTCCGGCCTTGATGCTTGCACGCTTTCCTGTTGAAGGACCAGGTGCGGGGTGCACCCATTCTTGGGGTGCTCACACACACCTAGTGTGAAATGGGGCAGGCAGGGTCCCTCCCAGCAGAAGTGTGTGGCGCTAAGCCTAGGCAGTGGAGAGCAGGCGTGGAGTGGAACGGTATAGAAGCCAGCCGAGGTGTGGAAAACTTCCACTCGCCAGCCAGGGGAATCACAAAAAACAAATTCGGTTCTTGTTAAGCTGGGGAAAGTGGGCATCCACAGGGGTCTTGCTACAGCCGTGCATGTCACTATAAACCTGCCAAGTCTCGCCACCTTTTTTGGTGATGCTCAGAGGCGACTCCTAGCTCTGTGCTTAGTATTGGCTCCTGGTGGTACTCAGTGAAGGCTTTGCCTCCCAGGCCTCCTGCCTGCAAATCATACGCTCTGGCCCTTGCAACTCTCTTCGGGCTTTCCCCCCTCTTCCAAGGCCACTGATTCAGGTTCCTGGAGGAATAACAGGGTCGAGCAAGGAGTGTGTATGTTTAAGTGTGTGTGTGTGTGTGTGTGTGTGTGTGTGTGTGTGTGTAGTCTTAGGACTAACGCATCAGAACATATCTTGGCATATCTGATACACCTTGTCCTGACAAAGTCTGGAGGTTTCCGAAGAAATACCAAGCAGCCCTGCCAAATTGCCACCAGTGTGGTGAAATCACCTGCAGAAAACACAGGAAGCAGAAGATGCAAACAAAGGAGGCGCTGGGGTGGGGGTGGGGACAATGATGGGGGAGCTGGGGCGGGAGGGAGGGATTGTGCTTTGCAGCAGCTAGGATGCCAGGAGGAGGAGTAAGCCATCCATCATCCATGGATGCAGTGCATGCAGATGGGGAGTGTGAAATCTGGACAGGCCTGTGTGAGCACCAGCTCCCTTGTGTTGGTCTCCCACTCCAGGCCTCCAGAGCCTTTGACCTCTGGGTTGCCTCTCAACAGTGACCAGCTTTGCTTGGGCTCTGCCCCCTCCCCCTACTCCATCAGGGGTCCTCCCAGACAGTTGCTTCTGCAGTGGGCCTTAAAAGACGCTTCTGAGGATAGAACTGTGAAATGGAATCACCTACTGTTCTGATGGCAGTCGTGACACTGTTGCTCGTGCCGAGTGGGCCGCTGTTCATGGGCAGGAAGGGACAGCGCAGGACTCTGATGCCCCACTGGGCTTGATCAGTCTGAGATGCAGGTGGAAGGTGAAACACAGCTGGGTAATGGAATGCCCGCCGGATATCGCGAGAGCGATAATAATTGGCAACACTAGAAATCTTGTGAGTCGATGAAGGTAACAGCCCCGGGGGCTTCTAGTGGGTTCTTGGACGACTTCTTCCCTGAAGTGTCACCAACTAGGCTGGGGAAGCCTCAGGCAGGTGTGACCAGGCCTAAGGAAGCTCAGTGTGTAGTTTTGGCAGCTCTCCTGTCAGCTTGAGGCCCCAGAAAATGAGTGTAATCCTTGCCATGGGAAAATGGGCTACATAACCTAGAGCCCAGAATTTCCCCAAGCCCAGGCTCTCCCCCAAGCCAGAACCCCAGCAGATCTTACCAGAAGCAGATACTCTGGGAGATACCTGTCATGTGCTTCCTTCGCCTTTCACTGCCTGCAAGCTGATGGCCTAACCTGAAGTACACACAGCAGCACACACACTTCATCAGCCAGTAAGAACGGTGAAGTCCAGCAAGGTGTGGCCCGCAATCTCTCCGTCAACAAATGTTTACTGGCTTCCTCTGTTACCAAAGTGAAGATAATGCAGGGACTGAGGGTCTGGCTCAAGTGGTAGTGCGCTGCCACGCATGCTAGTGGCCCTCGTGGATTTCCTGAATCTCAGGCCCTTCCCAGCTCTATTGGATGTGACCCTGGGGGTCTCACATGCACCCTTGGGAGTGACCCCTGCTAGAGACCCACAGGGTGTCACTCTCACAGCAATAAAAATATTAACAGAATGGAAGGAAATGAAAAGTCGGTTGTGCTTGATAATCAAATGGCGCCCATTGCTGCGAGTCAGGCAAGGGATAGTGATCGCAGGGCAGCAGAGCAAACAAGCCCCAGAGCTCATTTGCATCCCAGCCAGTCTGGGTGCAGAAGCCTCATCGAACACTCGGATTTCATGAAAAGTCACTGAGAACCATGAGTTACTAAAATGGCAGAAGAAGAAATCTGAATATCCTATATTTACTAAAATAAATTGAGTTTGTCATTTAAAAACACAGGCTTCACAAATGTATATGCACTTATCCCGCCAAGAGAGCATTTCGAGAGGGGAGTTTAGGGATGTGCAAATATTTGTATTTGAAAAGAAGAAATCCCTAAAATCAACCTTCCTCCTCAAGAAACTAGAAAAAGAAATTAAACTCCAAGTAAGTGGAGGGAAAGAAATGAGTGAAAAATCAATGAAATAGGAAACAGCAAACATTATAGACAAAAATCAATGAGACCAAAGCTTGTTCTCTGAAAAGATCAATAGAATTGATAAATCTCTAGATAAGCTGATCAGGAGAAGAGAAAGGAAGACCGACATTGCCAATACAGCTTTATTTAAATTTGTTTTCATCAAATGTTGAACAGCTGCAGGATTCTAAATTGTAGTCTACAAACAGGATATATTTGGTATATAACTATAGTTGCCACCGTGTCCCTTCCGACCTGGCTCCTTTCTCCTGTATGGCTTAATTATTTTACTGATTTTGTGGTTTATCCACTTGAACATTTGGCATGAGAATATATAAAGAGAGTGGATATAAGAGACCACTGTATTTCCCAGATGAGGTGGTGAAAGATTCTTGTGATTGTACCTGTGTATCTCATGGTGATTTAATTAAAAAAAAATTCTTGTGAAGGTAGTCATGTTTAAATATAATCAATACATCCAAACAAAAGTCCTTCAGCATGTTCAGAAAGATATGTAATAGTGTGTTCTTGAGATCAATGAGTACGGTTGCAGTTGGTGAATATCTGCAGAGTATCAAAGAGGGTTGTTCTGACAGCAGAGGGAGAATCCCAGCTTTATGTTGACTGTTGGGTGACCAACACTTGTCCATCTGTGGGAAGTTAATGTGAAAAATTGGTCCAGTTAATTTTTCAGAATCCTACTTTGTATTCCAAAGATCTTAGCAATTCCAAGATATGCAGTATAATTTGGTCAGTAAACTTGGTGACCCTGATAACACCAAAAAGTGTGACGTGTGTCCTGCCTAGGGAACAGGTGTATCTTTCTTTTTTGCAGGGGAGGTGGTATGCCACACCAGGCAGTATTCAAGGCTTACTCCTGGCTCAGGGCTCAGGGATCACTCCTAGGGGACCATATGGGATGATGGGGATTGAACCTTGGCCAGCAGCTTGCAAGGTAAACACCCTCCCTGCTATACTGTTACTCCAGTCCCAGGTGTCTTTTTTTTTTTTGTCCCACATCTGGTGGTTCTCAGGGGCCAACTACTTCTTAGTGTTTCAGGTTCTCTAGAAGTCATGCTTAGGATATCTTATATGGTGTCTGGGATCAAACCAGGGCTCCTTCATGTAAAGTATGCATTCAGTATTTTGAGCTATCTCTCCAGCTCAGGAGTTGGGGTTCTTAAAAGTCGTTTTGGGGGGGGGGGGGCTGGAGAGATAGCACAGTGGGTAGGGCATTTACCTTGCACGCGGCCGACCCAGGTTCGATTCCCAGCATCCCATATGGTCCCCTAAGCACCGCCAGGAGTAACTCCTGAGTGCAGAGCCAGGAGGAACCCCTGTGCATTGCCGGG